CAGGCAGGGTTGGGTGGGGGTCCTACAGCACCCCGATGGCTCAGCACCAGCGTGGGGCTCCCACAATCGTGCTGAGGTTTGGAGGTGCTTCTCTGCACAGGTCAGGTGTCTGGATGTCTGAAGACACCCCAGCTCGGGGTGTGGGGGAGGCTGGGGGTCAGGGACAAGCTGCTGTGCCCCTTGCTCTGGGCTGTCATGGGCAGGAGGGATCGGGAGCATCACCCCAGCCCAGCTACTGGGGCTGAGCTGGATGTCAGCAGAAATCCAGCTCTGAATGCCCTCAGTTCCCTCACCGTGACCTCACCATGAACCCCAACCTTCACCCTGGCCTGAACCCCAGCCTCATGCTGACCTCAGTCCTAACCCTGGCCTGAACCTCAACCTTAACCTTGACCTGAATCCCAACCCTCATGCTAATCCCAACCTTAACCTTGGTCTGAACCCCAACCCTAACACCAACCTCAACCAGAAACCTAACCCTCACCCTTCCCCTAACCCTCAGGCTCACCCTGAGGTCACCCCTGACCCCAAGGTCAATACTGACCCGAATCCCACCCCGCACCCCAAATCTGGGCCTCAGCAGAGCCCTGGGATCCCCCAGGGAGCTCCTCTTGGGGCTGAACTCACCCCACGGTGCTGCTGGGCTCTCCTCAGCCAACTCCATCCCTTCTCCCAGGAGACTTTCCCACACTTAGCAAACGCAGGGGGATTAACCTCATCCTGCACCCCCCACGTGCCGGGGAGCCCCCGAGCCCCGGGGGGAACCTGGTGCTGCCGTGACAGCCACTGCCTGGCCCCGGGACATGAAAGGCCCCAAAGCCTCTGATGTGTGGAGAGGGGAAGGGAGAGGCTGACGCCGGTGCCAAGGGGAAACTTTCCTACAGCTCGGCCTCAGCCAGGGGAAAAACCAACAAACAGCACGGGCACGCGCTGCTGATAAACCCCGGGGAGCGCAGAGGAGCGGCCGCCAGCGAGCGGGACACAACCCCACCTCTGGTGTCCCTGCAGCCAGCCCTGGCACCATGCTCCTCGTCCCACTGCTGCTCCTGGGCATCCTGCAGCTGCCCCTCGGCAGCGCCCAGGTAAGGAAGGACCCTCGTGCCCCCAGCTGCAGCCCCCTCCTCGCTGTGGGGGGGTTCTCAGCGCCCACCTCTCCATCACCACGCTGGGGTGGGGGGCTATGGCACTGCCATGGTGCCCATGGGGCTGCCCAGGACCAGGGATGGGGACAGTCTTGGGGCTTTTCCCCTGGGAGATGATGCTAAACCTCCCCGGAGTGCTGGGGCAGGACCGAGTGGAGGAGGAAAGGGCAGACCCCCACCCTGGGGTGTGGGGGTGGAAGGGGCTTTACAGGGCATCCACACCATCCCTGAAGATGCTGCCTGCTCGGGAGGGCCGTGGCAGGGTGGCGGGGGGTGACGGGGATGCCCTGGTGTCCCCCAGGAGTGCCTGAGCCAGCCGCAGGCGCTCGGGGCGGTGCGGGGCGGCTTGAAAAACGGGCACAGATAG